GTTGCAACTTTATTCTTAAAACCCTACCTTCTTAAGTGGCGTGCACTTGCCAAGGTTGTCATCTTCATTTTGCTGGGTTGTCGTCTAGGTTGTCGTCTTCATTTTACTGGGTTTATTCTTAAACACATAATTTGGGTGTCGACACCATGGGTTAATAGTCCAGAATCAAACTTTCTGTTTCCTGTTTTGTGTCAACACATAATTCAGGGTGTCAGTACTATATGTTCAGCGTCCAACATTCAAGTTTTTTATTCTGTTTCGAATCCTATTTTTGTTTCAAATCCTACTTCTATTCCAATTAGGGTTTCTAAAACCTTATAAATACCCATCCAAATTCAGAATTAAAAGAGTTTGGGAGGTTGGTGGCAGCCCTCTTTTGGGTATTTTTGGAGATCAAGATAAAGATTTAAGAATTTGTTTATAATTTTTAAATCTTTTCAATTTCTACAATTGTAAAAGAGTATAAGAATTTGTTTATAATTTGTACTTTTTTTAATTATGTTTCTATTTATTTGGATATTAACGTATTTTATATTTATGTTTTTTACTTAATGTTAAATTTATTTACATTATCTCATATATTTAATAGTGTTAAAAACCGATCAATCCGACCGAACCACACCGATCCGATTTAAATTGGATTGGTTTGGTTATCATATAATAGTGGATTGGATTGGTTCAAAAATTTTACTAACCGATTAAATTGGATTGGATTAAAAAATGTTAAAATCTGATCTAAACCACACCGCGAACACCCCTACTCACAAGGGAAACTTACTTCAACACTCCCTTTTCACTTGTGAGTTGTGAACACCCCATGAGAGTTCATCCTTTTTTTTTTTTTTACATACATACATGACATGGTTTGACATATAGACATGGTTTGACATACATACATGGTCCATGAGTATACTCATCATAGGCACAACATCATCCATGGGTATACTTGTCATGGTTTACATAAAATATACTCTCATTTTGCTAAACCCGGCCCATGACTGAAATTACCACTGGCTATGTTACGCCAATGGCTTTGATACCATTTGTTGGGGAGACATACAACTTAGCGAGATGACATTGATCAGTGGTCCATTACATGTTTCGACACTACATTGGAACCAAAAGACTAACCTATTAGTTCTATGGATCTTCACATAGATAAGCCACTCTTTCTTTTTGTATTTTTTCAATGTGAGATCTTAGTTTTTCACACTCACAAGGGAAACATACTTCAATAGTAACCTTTCTTCCACCTGCTCATTTATCTTGAGCAATCAATGTATCTTACACCTCAACAAACGCTGAAGGAGTGGACGATGCTACATCAAGAAGGATGATGGAGAATTAGAGCGATTAAGGTTTAGGGTTGCATTTTGTTTGGATGCACAAATACGCCAAAAGTCCGTGGATGGGTGCAAGGCTAAGGATTTAGGAAAATATATTTTATGAAGTGTACACCCATCAAGTATATGAATCATTTCCATATGTGAATCCCTTCTCATATTATAATATTTAACTAAAGACAAATTAGTGAAAATTGCACGT